AACCAAAACCAAATAACAAAAAGAAACACTAAAGACAGATATTCTACTCATACATAACGGAAAAAAGGTAAAAGTAATTATGTATGTTCTCCTTTAAATTATTTATAGATACCTGTTATAATATTTAGTTAAAACTAGATAGAGGTCAATACTAATTGATAAATTTATGTTTCTTCACTTTAAGGCTGATTTTCCTTGTGCCTTGTCAATAACGGTAACCTGTTTGAATGTTACATTTCCTAGCTTTTGGACAAACATTTTGAGGACACCAAGACATTTTTGAGATACTGTTTGTGTATTGGAAATCAAGTTAAAATTTTAAATGTGGAATTCAGTCAAATATTCTTTTTCAAAGTTTAATGCAGTCTTGCTAATGCAACTATAGTAAATATCTATTCAGAACAAGAAGTTAAAAGCATCTAAAGAAAAAACCAATACCACCCATAAACAATATGATTTTATTAAAAGGCCACCAACTGAAAACTATGCATTTAATAGCTGAAGATTATCGAACAAAGAATACAGTAGAGAGGAACTCTATAGTGCAGTCTCTTATTGTATTAGTCTGCTTTTGCTGCCCTAACAGAAATTAAAATAATGTGTAATTTATTTTAAAAAAGATAGTTATTTTCATAATTCTGGAAGCTGAGCAGTTCAAAATCAAGACACTGACATGGAAGGTTTTCCTAACTCATCATCTGATATGAGAAAGATGCAGAGAAAGCAGGAGGACAATAAAGAGGCCAGAGTTACCAAACTCATTTTTTAGAAGGACCCATTTTCAACTTCCAGACATTTTTGAAGATAGTATACTATGACACTAATGGATCCTATTAGGTCCTACCTCCAACAATACTGCATTGGGGATCAAGTTTCTGCATGCTTCATACATCTTATTTTAACATCATCTTATCCAATAAAGAAACAAAGACTCAGGTACATAGCTTTAGAAACAGAAACAATAGTGTATGTGAACATCATTTAACTTGAATTATAGAATTACACAGCCAGGTTCATTTTCATAACTGGAAATGTTCAAAAGTGGTAAAGTGATGCAAATTCTGTTATAAAAATAATTTTTATAAAAAGGTGTGCTCTTTCATCAATTACAGCATGCTCCAAACATCTCTGATGTAAAATCTTAAACAGATGGAGTTACAAACCAGCAAGCTGTTGCATATGGTCTGGGTGGATTGATGTGGAGGGTATATGGGCATACACATATAAATCACACAGCCTGAACTATTAGTAAAAAGAATATGCCACTGAGAAGTCCTTGGCTTAAATGGAAGAACCACAGAGGCACCTTCGATCTCCCTAACCCACTTCCCACCCTCTCCCTCATGTACTGATAATTGCATTCTGTGGAAACAGAACTAAATGAGCCAGTGTTTTAACTGTTAAGATTTGAAGTTGCTGCTAATCATGAGCTGTCTCTGCTCCAGATGCAACCCTACATACTTTCCCCTCGGCTATCGTGAGTTCTACTCTTTACAGTAGCCTTCACTTAGGACAAACAGACTAAAATCAAGGCAGATCAATAAGATTCCTCTCTGTTTCAACCACCATTTTGAATGTGATCATTAGTTTTACAGTAGAGCCTTGAGGAGTCAGTGGTAGGTTGCCCTAGCGACACCGTGTTTTATTACCTGGATGGACTGTTTTGGGGTCAACCAGTTCCACTCCAGTCTGGAAAATTAACCTTTTTCTTGTCTCTTTAATGAGACTATCTCTGTGCTGGCAGGTTTTTGTCAACTTGACATAATTAGAATCATCAAGGAAGAAAATACTACAACTAAGGAATTACTTCCATCAGATTGGACTATAGACATGTCTGAGTGACATTTATTGATTGGCTTGGGGGGACCCAATCCACTGTGGGAGGTGCCACTTCGAGGCACCTGGTCCTGGGTTATATAAGAAAGTAAGTAGAGCAAGTGACGGCTTGCAAGCCAGTAAGTGGTGCTTCTCTGTGGTTTCTGCTTCAATCCTTGAGTTCCTGCCATGGTGTCCTATAATTATGGATGGCAACCTGCAGGTTAAGTAAATTCTCCTCCAAGTCCCCTTTGGTCAGCGTTTTCCCAGGCAACATAAAGACAAATTAGAGGAACCTATTTTAGCAAGTCCTGACAATAGACAAACAATAGAGTTTTTCCCTATGAAGAACTGTGTCTGTTCTCAGTCACATAAAATTTTGAGTTAACAAATGGAAAATTATCTTGCTTGCTTTCTATGATAGAAGGTAGAAAGAATATTGGGCCAATATTTAGAACCTGGATCCTCTACATTAGTCTCCCCACACTTAAAGGGAACGTACATAATTATATTTTATAAACTGTAAGATATATAAAGTTGGAAATTTTGTAAGAAGAAAAAACATCCAATACTCACAGGCTATAACTCTCCAGTCTCTCCCTGCTAAAAACTTCACAAAATGATTTTAGTGTGTGGTGAATATGTGTGTGTGTTTCTTAATGAGTCTCAGCATCTTTTTCTAGAATGCTGTCCTAGGATGTCACCTCACCAGCAAGGCATAGCACAGCAGGTGCAGCTGCTTTCCACTCTCGGACTGCATGATTTCTAAATTACAATTTCAACATGATGCCTTTTTTTTCTAACTATTGTTTCATGATTCCTATTTTGATCATGTTTTACTATTTAAATTATCATTGCTGATATTTGCAATGGGATGGTTATATGAACCAGTAACCTTAAAATAATTTATAAATCACTTATATATTATGTATATGAAGACAATAAAATAATAATAAGATAGAGACCAAGTGTAGCATCACGTAGATATAAGCATTTGGGAGATAGAAGAATGAGAATCAGAAGTTCAAGGTCATCTTCTGCTACATAGCAAGTTCAAGACCAACCTCAGTTACATGCAGACTGTTGCAAAAACAGTGTGAATTTTGTAAGGCCTTAGTGATTAAATCCGGTTTACTTATAATGCCTCAGTATCACATCAAAGAAAATAAAATAAAAGAATTTCCCCTTAAAGTCATTTAACTAAGAGCAAGTCCAGATTTGAATTTTCTACTTCCTGTTCCCGTGTCCTTTGTCCTCTGTCACATGAGACTACCTTTGCTTTCTTAACATCTGTCTTGTGAATCTGTTTGTCTCTGTGCTTGTGTATGTCTTTCCTGATGTGTGTCTGTCTGTTGTATGAACTGTGTGTGTCTAGTTCTGTAGGTGTTGCATGTGTCTGTGTATGTGAGTTGTGTCTGTCTGTCTGTCTGAGTAGTGAGACAATGTGTTTCTCTAACAAAGTTCTTCACTCTGTATTTATTGAAGAGCATAGAAAGCAATACAGGGCAAAAAGAATGGGATACTTTACAGAAATTTTTAACAGAGTTGCACAAGGGATTACAACTGATCCCAACTGACTCAAATAACAAACATTATTGTTGATCAACCAATATCAATAAATGGTTGTTTTTACAGTTTACAAAGTGGCTTTTGACTTTGGTACATGCATTGACTGGGTCAGGGACTTGAAAGCGTATATAACTTAAGATTGTAGTTGTGCATTTGCTTAAGTTCTAAAGTTTACTACATGGGAAATTCAGGCAAGTAAATTTGATTATTAAACTGTTCTCTCAAAGGCAGATTGAATAAAGAATTTGAGTACACAGTAGCCTAGGTGAATTAAGTCTTAAGCGACTCAATTCTAAGGCGCAGAAAAAAGTTAGAGTCTCTTCGAATGCAACAGATATTTCAGAATATTTCCTCACCACAGAAAACAAAAGAAAGCAAACAAAGTGGATTCTATGTTTTTTGTGGGTGTGCGCATTTTTTTTTCATTTTGATATTTTCCATCTTACTGGGTTTTTTTGTTTGTTTGTTTTGTTTTGTTTTGCTTTGTTTTCTGAGAGAGAGAATAAAGTAATTAGGTGAAGAGGATCTGGGAGAAATAGAGGGAGGGGAAAGAAAATGATCAAAACATTTTTAAAAAATTAAGTTAAAAAATAGATTAAAAAAGAAGAAGAAAGCAGTCTGAGAAAGCCATGGGGAGCAAGTCATTTGGCAGTGTTTCGCCATGGCTTCTGCTTCAATTTCTGGCTCCAAGTTCCTGCCTTGAGTCCTTTCCTGACTTCCCTCCTTAATGGACTATAATGTAGAAGCATGCATAAGATGAAATAAATTCTTTATCCAAACTAAGACACACAGTAACAAATTTTTCATGATTTACATGTTACTTTGCCAAATTGTGTTTCTAAGGACTAAACAGACAGTTTTCTTATAGCTCATATGTGAAAAATATAAAACATAAACTGAAGTTTTTGTTTGAAAAATGAGAACTGTGTAGCTTCTGTGCATTAATTTTTGAAATTCTGCTTACTTGGACACTCATAATGATGACAGTGCTTTATTTGAGTCCAACTGTGTATACATTAGAGCACTCTTCTTATGCTAGATGAGCCAAAAATTTGTATAAAAAAATTAAATATTACTTTCTCTTAGGGAAAAGGACAAAATCAGTTCATTGTTCTAGCTTATTGAGAAAGAAAATGTCATCCGGATTGGGGACTCATGATGGCCAAAAGTTCCCCTTCCATCTCTTTGTCTGTCTAATCACTCGCCACTTTCCACATTAGCTACTTTCTAAAATGTGTATTATATATTAGGCAGTTATTCTTCTGAATCATGAAGTGATAATTACACATTTGGCTACCATTGATTGAATGTCTACCATGAGATACAAATGGTAGACACTGGTTTATTTCTAATCCTCACAATAATCCTTCTACATTCATGCTATTTTGCCCATTTAAGAATAGTGAAGTCAAGGCAAAAGAAGCTTACACAGCACCACAGAGCTGACAGAAGCAGAATTCTTGAACTGGATTCCAACAGCACTTCATAAGGATTCTTTTCATACATCACGCATGTAAAAAAAATGTACATTTTGATAACTCTGCAAACCATTGCTTCTCAGAGAGGGGAACTCATACAAACCCCACTGACCTTGGCATTGCTGTGCTCTCTTGCAGCCTGTGAACTCATGAACCAGGGCATCTTGGCCCTAGTCAGCTCCATTGGTTGCACATCAGCTGGGTCCCTCCAGTCTTTGGCAGATGCCATGCATATCCCACACCTCTTCATTCAGCGCTCAACCGCTGGGACCCCAAGAAGTGGCTGTGGTCTCACCCGGAGCAACAGGAATGATGACTATACTCTTTCAGTTCGTCCACCCGTCTACTTGAATGAAGTCATCCTAAGAGTAGTCACCGAGTATGCATGGCAGAAATTCATCATCTTCTATGACAGTGAATATGGTAAGTGTCTGTGATCTGAAAAGTTTCAAAAGGTGATGTTTGCATGAAAAGCAACTTCATTAAATCCTCAAAGTTTTTAAAGAACTTCCTAATCACTTATGGTTTCCTGTTTCTAATATACCTCACAGAGTCAAACAAACAGAAATATTTTAAATGCTATTGAGCTCATTCTCTGTATTTACTATCTTTGAAGTAAAATGTAAATAGAAATACGAAATGGAGTGTATCACACATACCAGTTATCCCAGCACTTGTCAGGCTGGGATGGAGAGATCAAGGCCAGCTAGGGTACCTAGCAAGATCTTATTTCAAAAATAAATAAATAAATAAATCTGAACCTATCACTCAATGTAAAATTCACATTACTTGAGGGTCACAGGATAAGAACTAAGAGACTGACATAAATAAAAGAAACAAAAACAATATTGACAACAACTGGCTCATACAAACCTGGAACTCTTTTGGGGTGGTGTAGTCTGAATACAATATATCTTGAATTTTCAAATAATAAGAAGTTATTCCAAGGCTCTTCTGACTGCTTTGTCTTGGAAGTAGAGGACATTCAGACTGCCTAGAAGCTGGTGGGGGTCGTGGTCTTGGCAGCTTGCTGGGCTAACCAGTGCTTGTATCTTTTGGTCTTGGTCTTCTGAAAGAGCACCACGGACATAGGAACCCTTACGGTGTCAAGTCCATTTACAGTCACATCACACCAGTACTCGCCCCATCTCGTGATAGGGTCCTCTGATAACTTCACAGCATGTGGGGTAACCACAACACCAAGATTCTTGAAGATATGGCAGGCAACAATTTCAGGGTTTAGTTAGAAGAGCATTGGAATAAAGCAAGCCAGCACTTGAGGCAAGTATGGATCCTAGAGAACATGTTAGCTCAGCAGACTGAATAGCACATACATGTAAGGCTCACTGTTTGTTAAATAGTGTCATCACAGCCAGCTGTATTAGAGCATTCAGCCGGTGGTAAGTTTTATAAGCAGAATATCAGTGAACTGGAACAGTCTTCATAGCCCTTCCATTGGAGAGTGCATGGGAACAAGTGAAGGGCCAAGCTGTTGTTCTGACAATTGCTATATTCTCATCCAGACTGGTCTCATGCAGAAATAAAGAGCTATTTAACTGGGGAAAAAAGAAGTTAAAAAGAGAATACTATCCTTTAAAAATGCATAACTCTGTGATGATGATGATGATGATGATGATGATAGTGATGATGGTAATGAAACCATGGGCAGATCTTAGAGCACTGATATAAAGATAACCTCTTTTATCTATTGGCTAAAAGAAATCTGACAAACTTGTTCAGACACTTGTTTTGACCTCACTATTTATTTAATGTTCTAAAAAGCCATCATAGTTGATGAAAGTAGAAAATATTCTCCGCATGTTTTATTCAATATGAAGTTTTACAAAAACTAGAACTCATCTGAACGAACATTTCAGTCTTCCGCTGTAGCACACAGTTTCCCAGAGTGCACTGTAATATGAGGAGGAAACAATTTGTCTCAAAATCTTTACTGGTCATACATAAACACATTAAGATAAACTAATATTTTTGTTAAAATCACTTTTCTGAAGCTCTTCCTTTTCTTACTGAGGCAAAAGCCCTTTGTATGTAGTTCTCCCCTTATTTTTGTGAGTAGGGAGAGGAGTAACTGGAATTGGATATGACCTAATGAGGATAAACAAACCCTCAATGAAGAATTCATTTAGAAATGCATTTCCTTTGATGATTCGAAAATGCGGCTCTTCTGGGTCTTCTTTTTTCCATTTTTATTAAAAGAATGTTTTCTTTGGCAAATAAGTAAATAAGCATGGAAAACAAACAAACATTTAGCGTAATCCTTTCTTCTCACAATGGGGCTCCATTGTAAGAGACACAGCAGAGACAGACAAGTGGGCTGCCGAGCCAAAGCAGCAGAGCTGAGAACCAGCAGGTTGGCAAAAATCTGGCCAGCAATAAAGGACAGCCCCCTGGGGCTGGACAGGAAGGGGACAGGAGCAGTTAGATTTGGCCCTAAATCGTCAAAGTAGCCTGGCCTTTTGGCTGCCAGAATAATCCCATTGAATTCAATGGGCAAATTACAGGCAAAGTCTGTAGACTCTCCAGAAAGACACTTTTTTGTCTCCAAGACGGAAACCAGTATTTCTGTTGCTTAATTCACATTACTTAGGGTCACAGAATAAGAACTAAGAGATTGATGTGAATAAAAGAAACAAAAACAATATTGAAAACAATTGGCTCACACAAGCCTAGATCACTGGTGGGGTGGTATTTAAGCACGGTGATGGTGAGTGTCTCTAGAGCTACATGCACTGCCTTCATCTGCTTTTGCCCCTTAGATTGTGCTCCTTTTCAACTTTAAATGGTATTCACAGCCTCGGATCAAGTGTAAGCTGAGATAACAAATGTCTAAAATCCAGATCTTTAAGGGAGAAAACACTCAGTCCAATAAAATTAGCAGCAGAAAAAGTGATCTTTTTTTTTTTTTATTTTGATGAAGATACTTTCTTGGCATTAGAATGGGAAATTTACCCTTTGATTGTAAAAGTCTGTAGAATAGAAAAGTACTTATTATCATTTATTTTCAAATCCTGTGAGAATTATAGATGGGTTCTTACAAGAGAAGACACTTTCATTATTGATGAGCTGAATGCTGTCTTGAAAGTATCCATTTAGCATACAGGCTAAGTCTTCTACCACACGTGAGGTCCTTCATTTCTCTTTAAATGCCTTGGAGTGAGTAAGGAGCTGTGACTGCACAAGGGATGATTGGATTGCCATTTAAACACAAGGTTTATTTTTATGAATAAAAAAGTAAAACAATTTCCATCTATCCTGTTGATAAACTTCCTTTTTATAATTTACTTGGAGTCATTAAAATGACTCTTCCTCTATCATCAAAATAATTTCCAATAATACCATTACTTAATATAAGAAAATTGTCTTTTGATGTTTACAATAAATCCTGTTAGTAAAAATCTAGGCTGGGATCCCAGACAAACAACAAACTTCCAGAGATCTTGTATACCTGGAAGACGGCTAATATGCTCACATCCAGTCATCAGGGACATCCTTCCAAGTGGATTAAACTTGACTTTTATCCTGATTATCAGGAATTGGTTCCATTAATGAATGAATTAAGTATCATTGGTGGATGGAATCAGGCAGCATGCTGGGGTACAAGGTGATTAGAGGTGTAGTTTGCTTAGAATTATGTGTGTGAATGTATGTATTATTTTAATATATGTGCATTATTATTTAAAAATATATGTGATATATACACATATCTTTCATAGAGAGAGAGGGAGTGGTGTGTGTGTGTGTGTGTGTGTGTGTGTGTGTGTGTGTGTGTGTGTGTGTGTGTTTAGGCTTCTATATATAGTTGATTAGTGAAGTCCTTTTCTTCAGAAGTAGTTAATCATGATTAAAGGTAGACTAACAAAGAAAATTCACATCATTAATTCTAAGTAAATGGATCAAAAAGAATTTGACAAGTATGGAAACTTTATTTGAGGGGATTAATTAAAGCCTTTTTTTTCTCCAGAAGGCTTGAAAGGAGGCTGTGTTTTTGAGCTTTCAGTACTGTGCAATGTGTGAAATCTGCTCTTACATTACAAAGTATGAGTTTTGCAGAATGCATGTTTCCCTTTAAATATTAAAAACCTTACAATCAGTAAAAGAAGAAACTTGTTTATATGTCTCTTGAAAGATGAAACAGTAGGTTAAGTTATCAATGAGCAAATGTTAGTGTTGTATATGTAATGCAGACTTTAATTTTGGCAACAGGCTTCCTGGTTAGACTTTGATCTTGGTTACTAAGGTTAAGGAAGCTTTAGTGAGGCAGCATCTGTAGGAATCAGCTACTTCAATGGAGAAAAATGTGATCAAGTCTTAGAGCTACTGAAATATTAAAAAATAGCTCATTTTTATTTGCCAGGAACTAGAATAAGTTATTTCATTCTCAGCAGCCAAGATGAAATAACAAAGGCTGCCAGAGAATATTTGCTATATGCAGCCACTTTGCTAAATTCTTCAAACATATCCATTATCTAATAAAAGATACCTGTTAATTTTACTAGTATTTTCACAAAAGAGAAAACATGAGGTAATGCAATGTCAAGCAACTTCAAAATAAGTTAAGTAGCCCAGATGCAATCATCAGTTGCTCTAGGCCACTAGTGTATTTGACACAATAAAAACAGAATAAGATTAATTTCTAACAAATTTCAAAAAAAACAAGTTTACTGATTGACTGTATAGAATTATCTTCATTAAAGAGACACAATGACAGCTGGGCTGTGGTGGCACACACCTTTAATCCCAGTACTCGGGAGGCAGAGACAGGTGATCTCTGTGAGTTTGAGGCCAGCCTGGGCTAGAGTGAGTTCCAGGACATGCACAAAGCTACACAGAAAAACCCTGTCTCAAAAAAAAAAAACAGACAGAGAGAGAGAGAGAGAATGACTTTAAGCCTGCAGAATGCATAAGGATTATAATAATGTAAAGGGGAAATATACTACATTTTAATTAGGAAAATTTGATGATTATTAGAAGCTGGAAAACAGAATAATAATTGGGCTAAAATAACTTAGGCAATCATTATCAAGAGTAGCTAATTAGACATACTAACCATTGTCAGAGACCAGAGAGGATCCTAACTCTCAAGAAAGAGTAAGCAGTATGAGTCTTGTGTTAATGTAATGACATCAAGCCCACCAAGGTCTGTGAACTAAAGAAATTCAATGGATATGTTGTGGGCTTGCATACATAATGGACCTTCATGTCCTTCTACCTAGTGAGACCATGTGCTGTCAAGTTGTGCAGTACCACAAGAGCTTCTTAGAGAATGGCTGTTACCATATCCCTCTTTTACACCTATAGCCACTATCAATTTTACCATGCATAGACTAGAAATCCCTCTAATCTGAATGACAGAGATTAAGATCAAATCCATTTGGTTTTTCTCACAACACTTTTTGATAAGA